AGTCCAAACAAACGTTGCGGGAGAAGGACGACAACCGCCACCTTTGGAAATACGGCGGGCCGTGTGATGGTGTCCGGGCGGGGTGCGCGCTGATATGGCGTGCCGAAAAATGTGAGCACAAAAAGAGCATGTTTTTTTTTTTACTTCCCGCCAGTCCTTTCTTTCATTTTTTCCTCTCAAAAGAACTCGAACACCCGCACACCGCCCACCATCGCAGAGCACGTCCGCCCTGCTGGGTGGAAGTGTGAAGAAGAACCACCACCCCCGAAAAGGAGGCCGCAGCGGAGGGCGCGAAACGCACACTTTACGCAGCCGCCCCTGCCGGCGCGGTGGCTCGATGATCCGCCGCTGCCAAAAACCAGTAAAATAACAAATCAGCAAATCATTAGGCCAATTAATCCGACAACAAAGAGAACAAAAAAAAGGCGCCTTCCCGGAGCATCGATTTCACGCCGCATCCGTGAGGGGCGTCGTGCCTCCTCGCCGCGTGGAGGCGCTGTTGGCGACGGAGCCGTTCCACTTCAAGGAAAAACCGCGCCAACTTTTTCGTGAAGCGCGGCTTCCTCGCTTCCTCAGTGTCCAGTCCATGTGTTCCCCGGGCGCCCGCAGAGCCGGGCATCGGAGTAGATGCAGAACTGTCTCCTCGCGCTGTTCATGCGGGCCGGTTCTCACAATGTCAGGTCGACCTCCGTGGCGTGCTGTGCGGCGGTGGGTCGGTCCGTCACCGCTGCGGCGCCAAAAGCCGCATGCTGCACAGCGAAATTCGACCGGTGGTGATCCCATCGGATTGTTGTCGCCGGGTGAGTTGCGCCTTCTCGGCGGCCTGACCTCTTTGCCATCATGGAATCGGCTACATTGCGTTGCAAATTGGTTACATCGCTCCTCTTCCAAAAAAAAAAAAAAATTCTCTTTTTTGGGGGCGGTGTATCCGTTGGCACTGTAAACATTACGACAGCACGCACCCCCACACCCCAAGTTGCAACAGTGAGTTCAAGCAAGATACAGCTGGAGGGGAGCTTCGCCTTCGGTATAGGGTCTGTGCTAGCCATGATCCCGTAAAGAAGAATTTGCCGTCTCTTGGCTCCCCTGGCAGCATTGAGTATTGCGTTCACAAGGCATGATGAAGTAACCTGCACTGCCAGAGGACCCAATTTCATCTTCTCACACAGTAACTGAACGACATCATTACGCCCCATGCGTACCTACCTCGCTCAAAACACTCGCAGCAAGAACGAATAAAAAAAAATTAATAAAAAAACAAGAGTAAAAAAAAGCCACCCCATGGTAAAACCCGTGACGATATTTTCCTCAGAAAGCGTTCGGTTTTTAATTTTGTTGTTGTTGTTTGTTTCTTCTTGTATTCTTTTTTTTTTTTTCTTCTCAGTCCATCCAAAACGCCCTACTTTTTGCGATTCTATGAACTATGCATGCATATATAACCATAAATACAAATATATAAACACAACAGGACACAAATAAAGATATTACTTTTTTTAAAAAGCAACTAGAAAATGCCATAAGGATCGTGTCGGTAAACACGAGCACGCCTCATAGCAGCCCGCCCAAAGGCGGAACCAATCATTTGTACACCATTCGGTTCGCGGCACTTCAATCCGACCAATGGCTCCAGCGTTCCCTCCTCACCTGATGAGCTGTGCCGTGGTCCCTCGCTGCTTGCTTCTGAAGGGCCGTTCAGCCCCGCCCACGAATTCAGACCCTCAGCATTAACAGTAGGCGCCATCACCCCGTCGCCACGGCAGTTCCTAGCATCAATTGTCACTGGAATCTCTGGCGGCACACCACACTTTTTACGTTGACGAGAACACTGGAGTTGACTGTCGCTATCGGCGCTCTCAACAGACGACCTCAAAGCACCTGGTACACGCTGGCGGTGCGAACGACCCGCTGCACGCTTGCAAACCTCAGATATAGTTGGGTCAACATAAATTGCGTGAATGAAACTGCAGTCTTCGCCGCGGCTGCACAGGTAATTGAAGTAGTAATGTGCACAATGCGAAAGTGTTTGTGGTCTCCCTTTCGAAAATGAACGCGCACCCCGTGTCGCAAGGACATACTCACTTGAGATCATCACTGCAGGATGCTTGCAATTCGGCAGCAACACTTCCAAAACATCCCCGGGAGGCAGCCGCTCATAAATGCAAAGCTTCTCATCACGCCAAATGTAGTTCACATGAATGGGCTGCCCCTCCAGCGTTGAATAGTCCACGTCCGCATGTACAAACTTGCAGTTTTCGCCCATATTACATGAGTCCGCCTCACCGCACCTGTAGTTCCGGCAAATAACAAATCGGGAAATATTAAAACGTGCCGGGGGTGTGTGGACCACCAAATGGGACGGCACCGTGTATAGATGCGTAGGTGCAAAACTAATAACGGATATAAAAGTAGCTTTTCTATTTACGCGCGCGCAACTTTTTGCCTTTTGTTTATGAGTATTCCATTTCCTACTTGTGTGTATTCGTTGCGTAGCTAGAAAAAATTAAAGTATAAAATGAAGTATTTGTGACAGCAATAAACACAGTAAAAATAAAATTGTCTCTCTTCTTTTGTTTCATTTGTAAACTTCTTGTGCAGTAAAATGGAGATGATTCATAAGAGGCAGAACATAAATGTGGCAACAAATTGGTAAGAAACAAATCAGAATTTTACTCTGGCCCTGAGCTTCTTCCCCCATTCTCACAACAACAAACAAAAAAACATACAAACATACATAAATACATACAAAGAAAAGGAAAAAAAGCAGCACCATTAGGGAGATGACACCTTCGTCCAGTGCAAAAAAATATATATGCATATATTATTCTTCCCATTTTAGGGAAAATACATACAACACCCGTACACAAATAAACAAATGTTTGCATAACTCATTCTGCCACAACCTAATTTCTTAGAAACCCACGAAATGGCAGTCTTCAAGAGCCCCGCAACAGCTGGAGCTGCCCCCTTCCCTCCGCTCGGTGGGGAATAATGGGGTGGGGGTTGGATGGGAAGGAGAACAAACTGTCCTTGCCACCTCCAAGCTCGCTCCCCCCATCACCACGAAACAAATCCATCAGCATGCAAAGAGGCCAAAGTATATATTACAAAACACCTGTTCATTTATTTATTCTCATCTGGTCGCACATTCCTTCCATGTGTTTCTGAAATCGATGTGCACCTCTCCCTCCTCCACCGGCTGCTCAAGATGAGCAAGTGAAAAAAGAACAAGACGCCAAAGCACAAAAAAATGTGTGCTCAAAAAATATTCAGGTTATTATTATTATTATTATTTCCCATTTTTCCCCCTCATCATCTTTTTGTTTTTTTTCCTCTTCACTATATATTTCTATAAATAAATATTTATATATTTGTAAATGTATACATGTATGTTTACCTATGTGGATATAAATACATGGAAGAGGAAGGATCAAGTTAAATATGGCAGTCTCAGATGCGTGGCATATATAAAAAAAAGGGCATCACTGTTCATCAACAACCGCATAAATAACTTGTCGACCTACACAGAGGGAAGAAAAAAAAAAAGAAAAAACAAAAAAAAAATTGCGTCTCACAATTATGATTACGCCAATCCCACACTCACGTTCAGTTTTTATTGCCGTGGTTACTTTTTCTTGCTTGTCTGTTTGTTAGTTGTTGTTGTTGTTGTTTTTTCCATGATGGAAATTCTCGTTTATTTGCTTCATTGGCCTTAACCACAAACAAAAAAACACACAGAGAGAAAAAAAAAAGTACCAATAATAATAATAATAATAATTTTTCGTTAATGCAGACGTGCATACATGCCTCTAATTAAACAACCATATACAGCCCACTTTTAGTTGGCCCTCACAGATAAAAAATTAAAACAAAATAAAATTTCAAAAAAAAAAAAAAAGAAAAAAAAAGAGAGAAGATCTTTCCGAACATTGTTGCTTCACCGCACACATGCACACACACGCGCTCTCTTTCTCTCCCTCTGTTATCGTTGAAACCCATTGCCCCTTTATTATTATTTTTATTACGACAAGCCTCAAACCACCGACTTCGCGGAGCTGCGGCAATTGACTCTCTAAGATTGCAAACACGAATAAAAACCCACAACAAATGAAAAATGCATAAATAAAAATAAAAAAAAGAAAAGGCAAAAACAGTAAAAAAAAACAAAAAACAATACTCTTCTCTCAGAGCCATACGGCGCCCCAGCGCTTTATTTATGAGAGCTGAAGAGCTGATACCCCGTCTGACAAAATTGAATCCTCCGAATTATCCACAAATGTCCATTCAATCGGCCTTGTCTCCCCACTGGTGCTGCTGCGCGCACTGCCGTCACGTACGGACAATAATGTGTGGGAAAAGGAGTCCGTAACGTGCTTTGGTATTGCAAGGTCAAGGTTCTGATTTGCGGTTGGCACCGTGTCGCCATCTATGTCAAAATCCTCAGAAAGGATATTGTTGTGCCCCCGTGATGGTTGCATCAAAACTGGTTTCTTCTTGCTCACGGAGGCACAACCATTAGCAGCCACATCGGATCGTGATGAAGCAAATAATTTTGCCCGTGATGCCCGCTTTTTGGTCGGTGGAATAGTTCTGGAGGCCGGGGCACGCTTAAATACACCCTCCACACTTAGATCGACATAAACTGTGTGAATGAAGTTGCATTTTTCACCCCGGTTGCAAAGACAGTTGAAGTAGTAGTGAGCGCAACGTGAAAGTGGTCCAATATGGTTTTTCCAGTTGATGCTACCACGTGTAACCAGAATGCGTTCACTCGGAAAAGTCTCCAACGGTTGTCGACCATTTGGTGCCAAAACATGAATCATTTCGCCTGCTGGGAGACGCGGGTAAGTGCAGCATTCTGCGCTCCGCCAAGAGTAGTTAACATGAATGGAATATCGTGGTGCACCTGTCGTATCGGCATGCACAAATTTGCACATGGCACCCTTCCAGCAGCTATCAGGGCGACCAGGGAAATATTTTCGACAAAGAACCAATCGAGAAACACCCAATGAAGGGTGTGGCTTGTGAAAGATTGCGGAAGGTGAAAGAGATATAATACAGCTAAAGTCAGAAGAATACACATCAACGCGGAGCCCATCACCAGCAAAATCACCCTGATTTTTAATACTAATCGTACCCTTGTTGTTGGTGGTTGTTGGATTTCTCCTGTAAAAATCACTTTTTCTAATACTGTCAGGTCCTGGCGGCAAAACATTGTTCCCATTTTGAGCCAATGGTGTCGCTGACGGATGATACGCAAAAGACAACGGCCTTGAAGAAACATGTGTGACAGGTGACATAACCGAGAAAACCGTGGCCCGGGAAGTATTTATTGCCTGTTCATCCAAAAAACTCGTTGATTTTAATGGGGATATGACTCCTTCTCCAGCATCCCTTGGACCGCCTTCAGCCGGAGAGCTTACACCACTGCTGCATCTTTTGCTCCCTTGGAAATCCTCGCTCGTAAGCAGTGAGGCAGGATTTAAAGGACCCGGTCTCGCCAAAACTAATTGCTGGACGGGCATGCATGAGATTGGCTGCCCATCGGCCAGCTTGACCAAAAGAACTGCCTGCCGTTGAAGCCGCTGAGACAAAGAAGTAGCCACTGTATTGGTGGAACCATGGGAAGCTGGTGGTATTACAGCAGTGGGGGTAGCAATACTAACAGAGGCAGTATTAACAGCCAAGGGAAAGGAAGTCGCAGGTACTATATCTTGATTTGCAGTAGATGTGGGTGAGCCTCCGTTGTTTGTGCTCCCCATATAGCCGTACGGCAGAAGCGAGACGGAATTCCCAATCGAGTTACATGATGCGGAATCCCCATATGAGCCAAAAAAACGTGACTTCGTAACTCCAATAAGGCCATTTTCACGCTTGTTTCGGATGCAAAAGTGTGTCTGATACATGGCATCCCCATAAAACCCATTGCCATTTGGAGTGCACATCCTTGAGATTCGTTGATTTCCCTCGCTATCCTTCCCTATCCCTCTTATTCTCTGGTTTTCGTTGCTTTTATTATTATTATTATTATTATTATTGATGTCGCTTATTATTTCTATTTGTTCTCTTTCCTTCACTCCTTCTCTTAGTGTCGCTTCCGACTTTGTGTCCTCCTCCTCCTTCTCCTTTCCTTCGGAAACAGGGGGAGAAGCGACGCGTCGTAAAATTCTGGTGCCTAAACACACCCTCGCCAAAAAACCTCCACACCGCAAAGTAACGGAGGCTCCGACGGGTCCCGGTGTCGCTTGCAGAAGCGCAACGCAAAAAAAAAAAAAAAAGGCAACACTGAAACCGGAATATTTTCGGATGTAAACAAATGGGGGTGGCACAGCACTGCCGATCATTCCTTCCTGCGCCCCTCCCTTAGCCGGAACGGGCTGCCCACGCGCTGTCAGCACGTGTTCCTCTGCCACCCACAACGCCACAAGGCAACGGAAAACGCACAGAAGAAGTCGTGAGACAGAAGGGTTGCATAAAAAAGCAACAGCGCAGGAACAATTCATGGCCCCCCTCCCACACACACACGCACAATCTGGGAAAGAGAAAAGAAGAAGAGAAAAAAAACGTAAATTCACAGCTGAAACAGGATGATAAAAGCAGACAACAGTTTCTCTGGAAAGTCAGAGACAAAAAATATATATATGCGTCAACATCTGACGCTTGCGATTCCTTTTCTGCCGTCTTTTTTGGTGATTTTTTTTCTTCTTTCTTTCTTTTGCGTACCATATCGAAAGGCAAAAAATAAATTGGGAGAGAAGAAACCCAGCCATTTACAATAGTTCTTTTTCCTACTTGAACTCCTTCATTGCGCCCCTCCTTATATATATATATTGTGCTGTGCTGGGTGTGAATTCGTCGTTTAATTATTGTTTTGTTCAATCCTGTACATCCGGCCTCGTTCCCTGAGACACAACACCTTTTAAAAGGGCGATGTACACAGCCCCTGGATGCATAATTGCGGTTGTCAAATTTGCAGTGAACACAAATTGCCGGTGTCCATCATTGAACTGAAGCGCCTTGGCTCTCCTCACTAAAACCTACAGCCATGGGAAGAGTCATGATCCATCCCTCACGACAGAGCGTCCTGAGGACTTGTCCTTCGCCACCACATCCGCGTCCGTGGCCGCACGAATACGCGCAATCAACACGCTTGTGGAAATGCCCTCCGTGCGAGGGGCTGTTCGAAGAATCCCAAGACGCCGTGGAACGGCGTAGAACGTATCATCGGGCCGGTCGTACTCTTTGCCGCAAACAACAACATGAATGTTGTGCCGTTTGATCATTTCCTCCGTAACACCAGTTACCGGACTGTTTGAAATCACCTGCGAGACAAACTTGCACATACGTACCTCGTTAACACGCTCCTCTGTTGTCATGATTGGTCGCCGCTTGTAATTCTCACAATCTTCGTCCCCGCAGACTCCAACAATAAGGCGGTTGCCGTACTGCAACGCATTTTGCATAAAGTTTTTGTGCCCCGCATGACACAAGTCAAAAACACCGTCGCAAAAGACGTTCCTTACCGGTACAAACAACGGAATACGGGTGGAATAAGAAAGATCCACCAACATACCAATGATGTACAGAACGGAAGCTACAATGGAAAAGATGTCGTTAAACACAGAACCAATACTAATGCACAACACTCCCGCATGCACACGACGCCTGGCAACGTTGCTAACATGTACCTCTATCGAAAGAAGTGCGACCACCAAAGCTCCACTAATCACGCTGAGAACACTGTAATTGTTAAATAATAAAATTTTATATAGAGGAACTACGCGCGCAACCAAACAAAGCGCGATTCCACTCTTGTACTTCCGCTTCATCTTCAGTAATGCCACATTAACAAAGCTCACCACCACCAGCAATAAAAAACTGTATTTTGGAAAATTTGACGTAAACAAAACGTAAAAGCCCGTAGATGGATACACAAGACGTGTAATTAAGGCGCAGAGGATCAAAAAGGACAACTCCGAATCCCGAAAACAATACGTAAGATGATACGCAAGATTCTTCGCCTTTTGAGGTTTGAGGTTATCCGCATTAATACGGCTAAGTACCGTGTTGAGCTCTACTAGCTGCATCGCCATGAGCAAATACCATTTCGTATGAAGGTCTCTCACGCTAAATGCCTCCATAAGTGTCAAAGCAAAAAATATACGAGAAATACTGCTGCACACGCGGGAAAAAATATCACCAAGAGGAGATGCCGATCGACAGCGCTTTGCGTGAACACCATCCAAGGAACCGCAGACAATGGCCACAAGGCACAGCAAGCACGATAACAAAATGGGAGTCTGAGCTTCGATATTATTTGGGTCACTTTCGCTTCCATCATAATGATCACTAATAATTTGATACGACTGCATGGAGCTCACCAGACCCGCAAGTGTAATAGCGTTAGGCGCCACCATCTCCGGCACCAAATGCCGACTCATCGCTTGCCAAAGTGGACTGAAAATAACCGTAACGAAGCTGCTTGGACGGGTGTCAACAAACGTCTCCGCGTGAGCGATGCGGTCCCGCTCAAGGGGCGTAAAAAAAAAACTGTGCTCAATGATATCCGACGACATACTCGCCCGGCAAAGCGATCACGTACAAGAATAAGAACGAAAGTGCAGCACACACCCACAAGGACGTAATCAGAGAAAAACGACAGAAATAAAGAGATGCCAACAAACGACAACAACAACAACAACAGAGAGAGAGAGAAAAAAAATTGAAAAAACAAATACAGCAGAAATAAGTCAAGAAACTATGTGTATTATAACACGCACCGCCTACACAAACACACAGAAGGCAAGAAAAGAAACAAAACAAAAAAACTCCTTTGTAATGTTGTGTCTGAAAGTGCGGGTGGATTCAGCAATCCCGTCTCTTCTCGGTGTTTACAAAATCCGCAGTAAAAAAAAAAAAAGCCTGCCAGGTAAATTAATTACAGATGATAAATGAAAGTCTGCGCAATGTTTGGCGTCCTTGTTTTTGTATCTTTGTTGTTGTTGTTGCTTTTGTTTTTCCCTTTGTTTTGTTTTTTTTTTCTTCCTTCACTTCCCAATAAATTTTTTGATTGAAAACAACACCCACAAACACAAAAAAAATAAAATAAAATGCCTAAGCCACCCACCCACCCCCGTTCTGCCCTAATCCCCTTTCTATCTGTGTGCGTGTGCGTGTGCGTGTCCCCGCGCCAGCCCCACGCCGCTCCGTGTAACACCTGCAGAGACGCGTGCGGCGCACGGAATGGCAGGATGACAGGCGAAGACGATGGCAAAAAGAGAGAAAAGGAGAGAAAAAGCGATTGTGTGGAAACACAAAAAAGACTGCCACCAGAAGCCAAACACACAAAGTCATCCACACAAGAAGGCAGAAGCAGCAGAAACAGAAAAAAAAAAAGACAGCAAAAGAAGAAAATTCCTTCTTGGCATCCTCACGCCACTCCCGCTTGCACCGCAGGCCCTCCAAAGAGAAGAATAGTAAAAATACATCAGCCCCCGCAACACCGGCAGCTTCCGTCTCCGAGTGTAGCGCACAAAAACGAAATGACGAGGGATGAGGGTTGGCAAAAATGCATACCAAAAACAAGACAAAAATGAGGGTATACATCTCCACAAACGCAGAAGTCAAGAAGAAGAAAAAAAGCAAGCAAAAAAAAAAAAATTCCCAGCAAAAGAGGAAAATGCTGCAGAATAAGAATAAGAATTACATAACAAAAGAACAACAACAAAAAAAAAAAAAAAAAAAATCAGGTCTTGAAAAAAAAAAAGGAAAAAAAAAAAAACATGGGGTTTCCACATTGAGGTGAAGGGCTTGCGCCACCACAAGAGACATTTTGGGCGCGTAAAATCAATCAAATATAACAGTGCTTTCATATTTTTTGCTTCAGTTTTTAAAAAAAAAAAAAAAAAGAAACTAAAAAAAACTCCAGGACAATAAACCAGGAGAGCAGCACCTTCCTACAGGCACACAAACATAATAAATATATGAACATATATATATATATATATATTTGTATACTTTCCATTCCACCTTCATTGCAATCATACATAAACGCACAACAATAAAGCCACAACATTTTATAATTTATTTTGTTTTTTCATATAATTTTCCGCCTTCCACCTTTTTTTCCTCTTCCTCCCCTGTTTGTTTATGTGTTTTCCTCCTTCGGCTACAGAAAGTCCTTCACAAACAAGAAAGCCTTTTCCACCACCTTGGGTGCATCACACGGACATGCGCAAGTTCCAAGAGCCAAGCTGTAAAGTGGGGAAGGGGAGGACAAAAAAAAAAAAAAAAAAAGTAAAATGCATCGTCTCCTCACCCGTCCAATTTTTCCAAGGACAAATGAAGTTGTTTCCTGATCTCCGCAATGCATCAGAGAGAAGAAAGCCAAGAAAAAAAGAAAAGAAGAAAGGAAAGAAGGGAAAAATATGTTCTGATTCTGCAGCACATTGAGCGCTACCCACGTTCTTCCAGATTCGTCTTGTTACGGTAACTGCTGTACGTGTGGTGGTGGTGGTGGTAAAAATATAAATAAATGAGAGCAAAAAGAAAAAAAGAACTGGTGCGGAACGCTTTCGCCACCTCAAAAACTGTTCCTCTCAACGCCGCCTAATCCTCACCATTGCTGTCACCGCAAACTGCAGTTCCTGCGCTGGACGCTCCCAGACAGATCCAAAGGTGCAGCCATTACCCTCCACCAATTGCACGAACCCCTCCTTTTCGGTTCCGCGCACGCGATTGATGGCAGCGACAGAAAACCCCGCCACTCGATGAATCGGCCGTGTGTCATACCCCAGGAGCGTCATTGTGACCGGTTTCCCATTAACCGTCTCGTCGCAGCAAGCTTTTATAAAAGATCCTGAAATCGTGACATCCACAGCATTGGCTTCAAGGGGAATCTCCAGCCGTTCAAAGGCCGTGTTGGCGAGGGCAGCAATGTGTTCACTTTCCAATTCGTTTCTAAGCACGTTGTGGACGGAGAAAGATGAAAGCGAGTAAAGAAAATCCTCCGCTGAAAATTGTACAGACTGACCCGTCGTTGAGTCCCCACGGCTCATCTCGGATGCGACTAGGGCAAGACAGTGAAACGCAGGCCACACGCTCGGTTTGAAGGGATGATGCACAATTGAATGACGCATATCATAGCCGTAGCAATCAAGATACATATCGCGCTGTGATGTGGTCGTAAGCATAAGAGTACCTCTAGCACGCAGGGCGATCGAATCTACAGCTGATATAGCATCAAATAGGACGTCCAATGGACACACCCAGGTTCTGTAAAAAGATCCATGGTTCGAATCACTGAGTGTCACAAGAGAACTGGATTCATCAAAGTGAAGCACAATCGCATAAGATCCGCCGTTGCTGCCATTCCACACCGCCTTATTAGCATGTATGATGGAAGTCTGAAAATTCACAATTAGACAACGTGACTCTGGAAATTGTAAGGCAAATCGAATTTGTTGAAGAAGGCCTTGTAAGGTGGAACCTGTTGCACCCTTGTCCATGTGTCTTGTAGCAACACTTACACCATCCTCTGCATGCGTGTGAGAGTAATTGCGTGCCACGGTGGCCGCGTTCTCTAAAGGCAAGTGCTCTGAAAGCATAAACGAGAGATGAAACCCACTGAAATTTACAACACTCTCCACATCCGCTTTAAATCCCAGACGAGCAAACGCATCCGCGAGGATCGTAACAACATAATTTTTTTTCGGGTATTCAAACCGCAATAATCGCTGCGTCGGTGGAAGCGCATAACGAGCCTCACTCAGAACGGATTGTTCAAACCCCGTTGCGTTAAGTTTTTCAATGGTTTTCCGTGATTTGGCTGCCACAATGTAGCCGTAACCAATGACAGCGGAATAGAGCCGTGTTACCGGTAGATGCCAAGTCTTACGGTATTTTTTCACATTCACATCAGCCAGCCTCACTATTCCACGCTCCTGATCCATGCCAATAACAATGGCAAAATGGCACGGTTCTGGTCGGTTGTCCACCTTGACGTTGAGGGCAACATTTACATCAAATCCCATAAGCATCACACTGCCACTTTCCACGGCAAGCTCAATATGCCTCATAAAC